GGCAGCCGCATTCCAGACGGATGAGGCATGCCTCGGAGGTCACATGTCTGACTCACCAACCCACCTGCAGGCACTCAAGCTTTACTGACCCTTGAGCTGCCCTGGGGTTCGAATCCTCACTCTCCCTGTGAGTCTGCGCAAATGGCAACTCGCTCAGTCTCAGGGTTCTCGTCTGTAAAATGGGGACAGCAAGCCCTGCCTCATGGCTTCGGTGAGGTGTGGAGAGGCTGTCTGGGTAGAGCCTTGCTGAGGGACTAGCATCTGGCAGGTTTTCAGAGGTTGACATGCAGGAAGCCACATCAGCCCGAGCTAAACCTAGAAAGGTAAACGGATTGCCAAAAACCCCATATGCCAAGCAGCGCTTTCATACAAAGCCAAATGGATTTCTTTTGGCTCATCCATTGTTTGGGATTATTTTGCCACAGTGAATGCTCTGTGGGTGAGCACTGAAGACCCACCCAGGGTGTGGTACGGATGGTGGCCTCACATGTGCGAATGGACCCATGTGCATGTACACAGACACACGGATGTGTACACTTGTTCTGTATGGGTGTGTACATACATTCACGTCGGTGGACTCCGCGGCAGTCGTGCCCGTGTGTCTGTGTGTCCATGTGTTTGCTCCCGGCCACTCATGTCCTGGTTGCTGGCTTGGACGCCCAGGCAGACTGGGACACGCCACCAGAAGGAATAAAGGCTGGTTGGAGAAATGCTGAGAAAAGATGGGTAAGAAGGAAACAAATGCTGAAACACTCAACATGTGGGTGAGGGGGGTGAAGGACAGGAGAGTGTGGTGGCTGAGACAGTGACCTGTGAACCTCTCCTAGGTTCAAATTCTCTTCCTGCTGATTCCCAGCTTGTCGCTGGGACAGGTCACTCAACCCCTCTCTACCTCAGTTTCTCATCTATGAAATGGGGATTAGAACAACAGCACCTACGAAGTAAGACTGTTGGGACGAGTCAATGAGTGAATACCCGTGAAGTGCTCAGTGGGGCCTGGCGCCAAGCAAGTGCTTGCTTCAAAAACCCTCCTGGAGGGCAGTGGCCTCTGCAGACCTGTCCTCTCTTTCCTCTTCCTCCCCTCTGAGTTGAGGCCTCCTAGCGTCTTTCCCGCCTCTCCCTCCCTCTCCCCTCCATCACTCCCCAGCCCCCCGACAACGTCCTGGTCTTTGCCAGAGCCAGGCTGGGAGCAGGCAGCATGTGCCACTGGCAGGGAAGGAAAGCCAGCATGGAGCAGGAGGAGGTGGAGACGCTGGCTCCGAAATGTTGCTTCTTTTTTTTCCTCCCTGTTTCCCAGCCATGCTCCCAGAGGCAGGAGGTTTGGGGGACAGTGGGAGGGCTCCAAAGAACAGACAATCCCAGCCATTCCCCAGCGGGCTGCAGGTCAGGCCCCTCCTTGCTCCATCTGCCTCTGCCACAGCCTGTGCCATCCGGTTTGCCAGCCCAGCCCAGCCCAGCAGGCTGGGACCCCAGGCCATGCCAGCTCTGGCCCCGCTGGGGGTGGGAGCGGGCCACGGCCTGGGGTCCTTGAGGGGTTCTCTTGCTTTGTTTTATTTTTCTTTATCTCTTCTTTGCTTTCTGAGCTCTGGTCTTTCCCAGCCCTCACGGCTCTGACTCTGTCCTGCGCCAGCCTCGCTAGCTGTCTCACCCGTCCCTGCATCTCTGCCACCACCTGCCCCGGGTCTTCTGCCAGCTCTGGGCTCAGGGAGTATCAGGCCCTGTCAGCCTCAGCTCCTGCACACACCCCTCTCCGCCCCCTGGGCTGAAGGCTGGCAGCTCCAGCATCTGGAGGGGATGGCTCTCTGCTCTGGCTGCCCTGGGCCGAGGGTCCTCCTCCTTGTTCCCCAGCCCATCTTCCCCTGCTCCCCTCTCCCCAGTGATTAGAGTCTTCTTCCCACCCCTCTGCATCCTCCCAGCCCAGGACAGCTTGCTGCCCTCCAGGCCTTGGCGGGAGGCTCACAATGAAGCTACCACCCCCACAGACTGGGAGGTGGAGAATCACCATGGCAACCAAGGAAGCCTCCCCTTCCTTCCCCTCCCCTTCTTCTCCCAGCTTCACAGAAGGGGCTAGAGGTCTGGGGGGGGGGGGGGGGGGAGTTCAAGCCCTTGGGGATACAGGATGGAGAATGACAGAGGGACAGGAGTAGCTGATGGGACATTTGTGAGAGAAAATGGGCCAGTCATGAGACCATAATTCTTGAGGAACTGGGTCCCACTGATTATGTGACTAGTGTGGTCCCAGCCACCGCTGAGTTCCTATGGCTCTGGCTCATCTGGGCTCCTTGTTAAATGCAGAGCTTCAGGCCCCATCCTAGACCTACTGAATTCCATCTTCTCACTTGGGTCCTACAGACCTATACTTTTTTTTTTTTTTTTGAGACGGATTTTTGCTCTTGTTACCCAGGCTGGAGTGCGATGGCGCGATCTCGGCTCACCGCAACCTCTGCCTCCTGGGTTCAGGCAATTCTCCTGCCTCAGCCTCCTGAGTAGCTGGGATTACAGGCACGCACCACCATGCCCAGCTAATTTTTGTATTTTTAGTAGAGACGGGGTTTCACCATGTTGACCAGGATGGTCTTGTGGTCTCGATCTCTTGACCTAGTGATCCACCCGCCTCAGCCTCCCAAAGTGCTGGGCAGACCTATACTTTAGATTCTCTCTAGGTAATTTCTATATGTACTAAAGTTGAAGACCCACCAACAGGCCTGTGTTTAAATCCTGGCTTGGTCACACAAGATCAGGGGGTGAGTCTTGTGTTGTTCCAAGGCTCAGTTTTCACTTCTGTAAAATGGGATGATAGTACCAGCTCCCTAGGGTGTTGTGAGAATTGGCGCTCGCAGGTAACTCTGCACAGAGGTTGACGGCCTCTGCTTTCTGCTCTAGGCTCTGCCATCTCCCGGAGACTAGCAGGGTCTGTGGGGGAACATGACCCCCTCCCTCCATGCCTGCCATGGCCCGAGTCTTCTGTGCCATCATGTGTTACAAGACACTGAGAATTCTGGACACTGGAGAAACATGAAATCATTAAAGCAAAACAGTAAATAAAAGCCAAAAAGTTATTACAGAGCTGACAGTGCACAACACCATCCTGCAAAGCAAATATGAATTATTTCAGAACATTTTACAGTGAAAAATCCTCTCTTCCTGCCCAGCCTTGTGACCCATTCACTTCTCTTTCCACCCCTCACGCCTGTGTGGAGAGTGGCCTGACCAGGCGGGCCCTACCCAACCCAGGGCTCCCAGGGCATCGGGATGGAAGTCAGCCCCCTGCTTCTTTGGCCTGAGTGCCTTTTGGTTTGCTCAGAGCATCTCCTGGTTCCTTGTCGGTCCCCAGGATCAGTGAGCAAGCATTACCGGGAGCCTTTCCTATTCTTAACGTTGTGTATTGCTTCACGGTGTCCCCAGAACCCTCCCTACGGCTCTGGGAAGATGGTCTGTATTCTTCCCATTTTACAGATGGGAAACAAGTTCAGAAGGTTTCAGTGACAAGCCCAGGGTCTGATAAGTGGCAGAGCTGAGACTCAAACCTGCTCTCTCCAAGTTTAAATGAGATTAAATAAGACAATGTATGCAGAGTACTTGCCCAGAATACTCTAAAAGCTATTATTATTATTACTATTGAGATGAAGTCTCCTCTGTCACCCAGGCTGGAGTGCAGTGGCGCCATCTCAGCTCACTGCCACCTCTGCCTCCCAGGTTCAAGCAATTTTCCTGCCTCAGCCTGCCGAGTAGCTGGGATTATAGGCATGTGCCACTAAGCCCAGCTAATTTTTATAGAGATGGGGTTTCACCATGTTGGCCAGGTTGGTCTTGAACATCTGACCTCAACTGATCTGCCCACCTTGGCTCCCAAAATGTTAGGATTACAGGCACGAGCCACTGCGCCTGGTCTATTATTATTATTATATTCAAAGACTCACCCAGGGGCTGCCCTGCTATCCAGCATTGGGATAGGACTGCTGTGGTCATCTGTCATCTTTGATGCTCAGCGTCCCACTCCTTCCCATTTCACTGGATGAGCTGTCAATCACTGTACCATGCCCTCTCATGGCCTCTAGCATGGACATGAGATCCAGAAATTTAGGATTGCCCAATCATAGTGCCCATTTTTCTAAGCACAGGGACTGAACCTGAGCTGGAACCACTGGAAAAAACCTTTAGCTGGGATTTTACATACAGAGGCAAGTTTTCCCTCTTTCTATCTTACCATTTCCATGAGGTCATGCCATTCGTCCCCACTCATCCTCCTTGCTCCAGATGGAGGAAACTCATCAGGAGGACAGGGTGTAACCACACAGAGACAGACACAGAGTTGTAAGATTTGGCGATTTTGCTTGAGTGCCTGGATCTAGCTGCACCTGAAGTCAACCGCACCTGCATTTCCCAGTTACACAGGCCAATACTCTCCTTTTGGATGAAACTAGATTAAGTTGGACTTCAGTCACTTGCTCTGATGGATACAGGTTCTGTGTGCGTGGGAGCACAGCACATGGCCTTTAGCAGTATACCCAGAGAGGAAGGCCCAACCTAGGAGACCCATGAAGAATAAGGGCATATCTTATCACATCTAATTCCTCCTGGGATACAGGAGGCTAAATGTGCCCATGGAAAGGGCCCAGACCAAGAGCTCAAGCCCAGGGTTATAATCTTAGCAGAGCCATTACTTCTGCCCTCCGGCTGATTTGTAGTGAGCCCTGCTTCTCTGGACCTCAGCTTCCTCCTTTGTAAAATGAAGGTATTGGGGCTTAGAAAATGATACCCTAGAGTTTGGTGCCTTGGCACACTGAGTACTTTGAACTGGAGGACACTGGTTGAACCTCAGAAACAAAGTCTTTCTCTGACCTTTTCCTGCCCTTTTTCCTCCTGCTCCTTTTTCTCCCCCAGGGCAGGCCATGGAAACTAGAATTCCTCTTCTCCAAGGCAGGTCATGGAAACTAGAAATATTACTCTACCCCTCCCCCACCTTTCTGTGTAGGAGTTGGCCATAAACAAATTCTCTGACCTACCTTGTCTGATAGTAGGTCATAAGATCCTCATTCCAGAAGGGGTCCTGCCCTATACCAGGGAGGAGGGAATGCAACGCAGAGAGGCCAAGAAGAATCTGAACAAACAGGCCTCGCAGGGCTCCCACACTCAGTCTTTGACTGTTAGATCATATTCTGTCACATTTCTACATGGCTGTCCATTCTTCAGTGAACCTAAATGTAAAAACAGACAGTTTTCTCTGAGTCTTTGGGTTTTCATTTCTGAAGTCTCCTGTGTCACATAAAACTTTGCTTAAACAAATTTTATGCTTTTCTCTTATTAACCTGGCTTTTGTTATAGAAATGTTGACTGTGACCCTTATGATGGAGAGAAAAGGTATCATATCCTTTCAATCCCTTCAAAGATGCTACTATCTCCAGAACATACTGCTAAGGTTCTAGAATTCACTTTGTATGTCAATGTGTACTAGGCATGGCTACAGGACCTTCCACAATCCCAGCCCTGGCAGACTCTTCGGTTTTATCTCCCATGATTCTCCCACAGTTATCCCACTCCCTTGTACTCCACATACCTCTGCAGTTCTAATTTCTCTTTACTTTAGCTTTTTGAACAAACTATCCACCCATCCATCCATGTATCCATTCATACATCCATTCATGCATCTATCCATCCATCCATTCATCCATCTATGCATTCATCTATGCATCTATCTATGCATTCATCCATCTATGCATCTATCTATGTATCCATCCATCCATGCATCAATCTATTCATCCATCCATTCATCCATCTATCCATCCATCTATGCATCCATCCATCCATCCATCCACTCATCCATCTATGCATCCATCCATCCATCCATCCATCCATTCATCCATCCGTCCATCCACTCATCCATCTATGCATCTATCCATCCATCTATGCATCCATCCATCCATCCATCCATCCATTCATCCATCTATGCGTCTATCTATGCATCTATCCATCCATCCATGCATCCATCTCTTCATCCATCTATGCATCCATCCATCCATCATCCATCCATCCATGCATTCATCTATTTATCCATCTATGCATCTATCCATCCATCCATTCATCCATGTATCCATCCATCTATCCATCTATTCATCCACCCATTTGTCCATCCATTCATCCATCCATCCATCCATGCATCTGTCTATTCATCCATCCATCCACTCATCCGTCCATGCATCCATCTATGCATCTATCTATGCATCTATCCATCCATCCATCCACCCATCTATCCATCCATCTATCCATCCACCCATCCATCCATCCACCCATCCATCCATCCACCCATCTACTCATCGACCCATTTATCCATCCATTCATCCATCTATTCAACCAACCAACCAACCAACCAACCAAAAAACCAACCAACCAACCAACCAACCAGCCAGCCAGCCAGCCAGCCAGCCAGCCAGCAAACAAACCAACAAGCAAGCTCTTGAAATATGTCAGGCACTGTCTCAGGTGTGGTAAGGTACAATATAGTCCTTGCCCTCATGGAGCAAGCAAGCAAATACAAGTGTGTTAGAGTTAGGAAATGGAAGATGTAGGATGCTATGGCTGTCTCTAATTAGGGGGGTGTAGCTCTCTCTGAGGAGAGATAGTTCTTTAAGGCGAGCCATGACGGTTGACTAGAGAATAGTCAGGGATGAAGGGAAAGAACATTTTAGGCAAGTGGAACAGCATAGAGGGTGTTGTGAGTGAAATAAACTTGCAATGGAAAGTGCACAGGCAGCAAAAGGGAGGAGAGCCCAATGTGTGGCCGGTTGTTGGTGGGAGGCAACATGATAACAATCTACTTGTCACCATGTTTACCTGGCAAACTCCTATTCATCCTTAGAAACCCTACTAAGACAACTCCTGTGAGAAGTGCCATCCCCAGCCCGAGTTCATCACTCCTTCCTCTATACATCGCTTGTACTTCTGTAAGTGCACCTTCCCCAGCCCTGTGATGATGTCTTTCCACATTTGTCTTTTCTCTGAGATGTCTATTCCTTAGGGCATGGAGCTGTCTATAGTTGTAGTGCCTAGCCCACATGGGTACTCAACAACTGCTTTTGGACAGAATTGGATGGCATGGTGGGTATGCAGCCCTTCCTGTTTGTGTTTCACGAAGGGGCAGGAGGAGTGGCAGGCATGTATATGGTTATCTCTGCATTTGGATTTAAATTCAACAACATTTCCAGAGGGCTGTTTAGACTCACTGGAGTGTGACAAGTTGCTGACCATTTTCTCAACACCAAGAAAAACTGGCTCTGCTGGAGGTATGGAGCTGGCTGGGGCTGGGGCTGGGATACCTGCTTGCTTCTCCCCTGCCTCTCCTTGCTTTTCTGTACCTCCCTCTACACAGTGCACTCGGGAAGCCCCCCGTTCTTCAGGGCTCTGTGGCGGGGTAAGGTGGTGGGTTGAAGCCATGCCCCCCACCTCGGTGCCCACTGGCTGCTGGCCAAGCTGGCTTCTTCGGCAAAGATGCTAATCAATGGGGCCCCAGGCTCCAGGCCAGAGGAGGTCTCTGTTTCTAATTCATATCGACTACTCCCTCCTTTGCCTGCCAATTTGTATCAGGCTGTTGTCTGCAGCGGTGACGGAGAGCTTTGGGCCCATTTGCAGTGATCCATGAGGTGGATCGGAGGCCTCTGCGAGGCTGGGCTGGGGTGTGGGTTGAGGGGCAGCCCTACATAGGAAGACAAACCCTGATCCAGCTGGGAAAGGGCTGCTCCATGTTCTTTATCTACTTAAACTCTGAAAGGGCTGGTCCTTCACCAGGGCAAAAGAGGACAGGCAGTGGATAAAGGAAGAAAAAAAAGGACTCCTTGCTCACACCATGTCACCTGCAAGCCAGGCGCAGGGCAGAAGTTCTTTGCAGTTCCAGCTACCTCCAGATGTGATGTCCTGGACCCAGACATTTCCATCAGTTACCAAGCACGTAGCCCACCCTCATGCTTCAGGGCCGGAGGGAACCATGGGCAAGTGTGGAGGGCCGGCACTGCACAGGCTCCTGGCACAGTCACACTGAACGCTCTCAACAGTCCTGGACAGATACTACGCCTCCCAGATGAATATCATTCGTACCATTGAGGAGATGAGAAAACTGGGGCTTCAAGAGTTTCGGAAGCATGCCTGAGAGCCTGAGGCTCTGCTCTTTTCTCTCTTGTTCTACCTGACTGCAAGGAGTCACCTCCTTAAGAGAGATAGGACTCTTGGCTGGATGTGGTGGCTCATGCCTGTAATCCCGGCACTTTGGGAGGCCGAGGCGGGCGGATCATCAGAGGTCAGGAGTTCGAGACCCAGCTGGCCCACATGGTGAAACCCCATCTCTACTAAAAATACAAAAATTAGCTGGGTGTGGTGGCACACACCTATAATCCCAGCTACTCGGGAGGCTGAGGCAGGAGAATCGCTTGAACCAGGGAGTCGGAGGTTGCAGTGAGCCAAGATTTCACCATTGCACTCAAGCCTGGGCACCAGAGTGAGACTCTGTCTCGAAAAAAAAAAGAATGGAGAGACAGGACACTCATACCTGAAGATGTCAATGGCCATTGTGGCCAGGCCAGGCCACCCTTTATGAACATGTGACCCACAGGCACCCCTTCCCCTGGGGCCATCTGGTCCATGGCCAGGGCTCTGTGCCCCTACTCTCTGCTTCTGAGAATGCCTGGGTCCTCTTCCTCCTTTTTCTCACCTCTGGCCATTGACCCCCAGAAACCCGCACCTTCTTCTAAGCCTTGGTGCAAGAATGAGGGGAGGAGAGCCCCTGCTCCATGGTCATTCTGGGTGGGAGAGAAGAGAGGGGGAGGGGGACAATTCTGTGCCTGGAGGCTTAGGTCAGGCCCAGAATGAGCTCTCCTGCAGCCCCCCTAAGGTCACAGTAACCTTGAGCAGATCGTTTAAGCTCTCAGAACCTCAGTTTTCTCATTTGTAAAAAGCAGCTACACCTCCCAGACTTCTCTAGGGGAGACTTACAAGAGATAGTGAGTGTATGTTGCAGGTACTCAGGGCATGTTAGGAAATGAAAATGAGGAGTTGGAGTTTGGCTGGGGGAGAGGGTCAGGGTGGGTTGGGGTGGGAGGGAGACAGGGGCTGGTGTGTGTGGGAGGGCTGGTGGGATGAGGGAGCAGGGGAGTGTTGAGGGCTGTGGAGAGACCCCTGGGCTGAGTCACAGGAGTAAGGGCAGGGAGGGGAAGTCTGGGGGGTTGCTGAATGCCAGGTCATCTTTGGACTTTGTCCTATGGGTTGCCGCTTTTCCCACATAGAGCTCTTTGTTCAAATGCAGTCCTGTTATGGAGCCCAATGGGACAAGCTGATGAAGGGTTAAACTGAGGCTGGGGCCCCAGAGTCCTGCTTTTCAACCCATCTTCATCACCTCAATCCCAGGCCCTCTGTGGAACTCAAAGAGCTACCCTGAACACTTTGAAAAGCCTCTGCATGGAGAATGAATTGGAGAAGACTTCGCTCAATCTTGGGGATGTCCAGGAGGCCTGAGAGAAGAGGGCTGGGAAAGGGGGCTCAGTGTTTTTGTTCTCAGTGCCCCCATGGCTCCTCAGCCTTGTTGCATTTACCACTGATGATGGCATCTGCTGGAGGCTGGGTCCAGCTATCAGTTCTCCCTCTGGTCAGGTTGCCTTTGTATGGAAAACAGGCAACGAAGGTCACCAGGGAAGCCCTGGGAGGTGCAAGCTAGGTGTCCCTTGAGGGGTCCAGGTAAGGGAGTGCAGCAGTCTCACTGCTGGTTTCCAGGCTCAGAGGTGGATGCCTTGTGGGGTGTCTCACCACATGCCAGGGGCCATCCTATCACCTCCCTTACATACTGTTGCCACGGTAGGGTTGGGACTTCCCTCTTTCTCTCCACTTCACCTGGCTGGCTCCCACGTCTTAGGCCTCAGCTGGGACATAGTTTCCTCCAGAAAAGCTCTCTTGTCCCCCTCTGCCATGCCTTGACTGCCCTGGGCTAGCCTCCTTTGCAGCAAGGATCCCCATGTGCTGTAAGCACCTGCTCATTCGCCTCTTCTCTGCTAGGTTTTACATTTGAGGGTGGGGCACTCTATTGCCAGAGCCTAGCACAATGCCTAAGAGATGGCAGTGAATGAATGAAAGAGCCTTACTCCAGCATGGGTGTAGGCAGAGATCAAACAGCAGTGTGAGCTCCTCGCATCTGAGGAATGACCTTCTAGAGAAAGGCTGC